CACAGAGCATTTGGGCCTTGGCTAAACAATAGGGGATATAGACAAGGGAAAAGCAGGAGATATCAAACCTAGAAAACATGATCTGCCTCCTGGCCTGTCTATCCCTGGGCTTTGAGAACATTATTACATTATTATCTCTGATTTTTTTTTGTTTTAGAATATAGTTAGTTTCATGAAAATATATTATTTATGTTAGCATATAAGATTTATTACTATTTTTTTAAAAATATATTAATATGGAACATTTGAAGATAATTTGTTAGTTTTAATTTCTAATATGGTAAATATCAATAGACATAACCCACATAAGCAAAAGCTCTTAGGGGTCCTTAATAGTTTTTGAGAGTATAAAGGAATACTGAGACCAAAAAGTTTGAGCGCCACTGCCCTGGACTATAATCAAGAAATCAATCAAGAATTTGTTGAATGCCTACTATATTCCAGTCATTTCACTAGGTAAATGATGTGCACATACAAAAAGTGACACAAGTCTCTGCATTCACAGAATTTACATCATACTGGAAAGATACAACATGTTCACAGATAAGTACAATATGCATAGAAAATGAACGCACAATGATTTGTTAGGGATGTGGGCATGAACAACTGGAAAAGTCAGGAATGGGGTGGCATTTGAGCACAGCCTTGAAAGGAGCAAATGGTTCCTAGGGATGAAAAAGAGGAAGGAGAAAGTTAGAGGCTTAGGGGACAGCCTGTGCAAAGGCTGTCCATGTGGATTGCAGAGGGGATGTTCTGTAGGGGGAACAGCAAGTAGGCAAATGAGGCTACAATGGAGAGCACTGTCTGTGAGTGAGAGGAAGTAATGTGTAATCAGCCTAAAAAGATAGTCAGAAGTCATGTTGTAAAGGGCTTTAAATGCCACAAAGAGGATTTTTGTTTGTTTTTATTTTTAATAATAAAAGCAATGGATAAGTATTGGGAGTTTTTGAGCAGAGAAGTGACATGGCCAGACTTCTACTTGAGTAATATCATTTGGTGGGTGATAGATTGAAGAAGAAAGAGATGGGATGCAAGGAAGCACCCCCAAATAGAAAACTTGGATAGTCCAGGCAAGAGGTGGTAAGGGCCACAGCTGGAGTAATTTCAAAGGTTGTGTGAATGGAGGAAAGGGAGAGATGTCAGAGACGTTGAGAAGATGTTATTGGCAGGACCTGGCAACTAACTGGATATGAAAGATGAGTGAGGGTAAAGAATCAGGGTGATGCAGACTTTAAAAAAAAATTAATTGCTTATGTAGGCTGAATCAATACAATGAAAATGGTACTAAAATTAATTCACTTATTTAGTACCTTACCAATCAACCAACCAAATGATTTATTTACAATGCTAGAAAAATAATAGAAACTTTCATCTGGAGGGACAAGGCCAAGACTCTCAGGAGAAATAACGAGAAATACTTTTTTGGATATGGCCACTGTGAGTTTATAGCTAAGCTATGTATCTATTTGGAGTTTATCTTGCAATATGGTGTATAATATTGGTCTCTTTATACCCAATTTCTGGCATGCTACTTTCCCCTAGCAGTTTTTGTCAAATAGTCAGTCCTCATATCAGAAAGTAGGCTCTTCAGGTTTATGGTACAAATACTATGCTACTAAATTGCTTGACTTTGCACATTTGTTATAAATACAAATATGTATTTGATACACATATGTTAATATTTGTTCATATTTTTAATTTTTTCCATCTTGGGTGAGGCAAGTGGGAGGGAGATAGAAGGTAGAGATAAAGTTCCCCTTTTCCTTCCAAAAAAGAGAGAACAGGAAGAAGGCCAGAAAGGATAAATCAGGACATCTCTGAAAGTTACATGTTGAAGTTACTAAATACTTAAAAAGAAAAGTTCTACATAATAGAGATTCACAGTTTTATGTATAATCCTCTCCTTTTACAATGTATTTGGAAAAGCTCATTTATAATTTAAAATTAACAGTTCAGAATATAAAATTTTAAAAAATGTTTTTAAAACAATCAAGAATGACTTCTAAGCTGTGAACCTGGTTAACTGAATATAAGTCACAAAAGGGCAGGCACTACATCTTCTTTTTATCCCCGTGTAGCATCTAGCTCTGCACCTTGCTTCTTCTATTCAACAAATAGAATCCCAGCATGACAGACTGTTTCATTTTTTCTTTCCATCCCAAGGCCTACTATAGTGCCCAGCATATAGCAGATGCTTATTAAATGCTTATAGAATGAATGAATGCATGAATTATAAGGGACCTTCCTAACCATCTATTCCAACATGGCCTGACAAGTAGTCATCCAGCATTTGCTTGAAGACATCCAGTGAGAGAGAACCAACTTCCTCCCAAAGGGATACCTTCCACTTTTGGATAGCTCTAATTATTAGGAAATTATTTCTTAAATCAAGCCTCAATTTTGGTTTGCAATTTCTGCCCATTGTTTTTAGTTCTGCCCTCTGGGGCCAAGCAGAAGAGGTCTTCCCTCTTCCACATGTTCCACATGTTGTTCAGTCATTTCAGTCGTGTCCAACTCTCCATGACCCCTTTTAAAGTTTTCTTGGCAATGATACCTGAGTGGTTTGCCAGTTGCTTCTCCAGCTCATTTTACAGGTGAGGAAACTGAGGCAGCCTTCAACTACAAGATAGCCATTATGTCTTACCATTCCTATCCGCTGCTTAAGTTTCACACATGGTCTGTTCCCCCTTGCTTAAACAGATCCTCATATGTCATGACCTCAAGATCATTCTGTTTGCCCTTCTCTACACACTCTCCAACTTGCTGACATCCTTCTTAGAATTAAACACAGTACTCCAGATACGATCTGACCAGGACATAGAAAAGTGAGATTCTTTTCTCCCTAGTCCTGGACCTCATCTCTGCTTCATAGGATGCCTCTCTTTCTTCAAGACACAGCTCAAGCACTACTTTTTACAGAAGTCTTTCTTAATTTCTCCCAACTGCCACTTTGTATTTATTCTCTTTATTTTTATTTTTGTAATTATAAATGTTCTTGCAAGTTCCTTCAGATCAGGGGTTGTTTCATTCCTTATATTTTTATTTTGCTTCCTCCCTTCACCACCATCCTGGCATTTAGTAATTGTTTGGTGATTGATTACCTAAAGCCAAGTGCATAAGTAGCAGAACCAGGATCCAAACCCAGGCCCTCCGATTTCAGATCCCGTGTTCTTTCCACTGTAGTAACTAAAACCTTCAGATCTTTTTTGAGCTAAATTGTCAAGCTATGCCTGCTTGGTCTTGTACCTGTGAAGCTTTTACAACCTAAATATTTCTTTACATTTATCCCTATTAAATTTCCAGCTGTGGTCACTTCAAACCTAGCTCAGGCCATGTCTCTTGCTGACTACACTTCTTCATCTCCAATCAAAACATCAGCCTTTCTCCATTCTGGTTATGCCCCTGGTTCTTCCCAATCTGTCTATAGATCGCTAACTGTGGCCTCAAGAATCACAGGTGCCAGTTCTTTCAGTATGCTAGGATGGTTTTTGTCTGGGCCAGTTGACTTGAGCTAATCAAAGGCATCTAGGTATTCTCTTACTAACTCCCTACTTTTTGTTCAGTTGTTTCAGTTGTGTCTGCCTCTTTGTGACCCCATTTGGGGTTTCCTTGGCAAAGATACTGGAGTGGTTTGCCATTTTCTTCTCTAGATCATTTTTCAGATGAGGAAACTGAGGCAAACAGGGTGAAGTGACTTGCACAGGGTCACACAGCTAGTAAGTGTCTGAGGCCAGATTTGAACTCAGGAAGATGAGTCCTTCCTGATTCCAGGCCCAGTACTCTATCCATTACACCATCTGGTTGCCCAAACTCCCTTCTTATCTTACTTTCAACTGCCCATTAGACACTTGTGTGCTGTCCTTTCCAGTGGGAAGATCATTCCCCTTGGCAGAAAAAAATTAAGCAAGATAAGAGTTGAACAGATTTGCCTTCTCTCTGTTATCTGTTATCATTGTTCCATTCACCCTGAACAGGGGTAGCAGTCCTACCCCTTCTATATCTAATGTTTTATTCTCATTCCACATGGAAGGCTGTATTCAAGGCACTATGGGGTTCACCCAGGAGTGTGCTGGTAACTATTTAACAGCCTGCTCTCTGGGAAGAAAAAAAAATGTATGCAGGACACACTTTTAAATTCCATCTGCATCACATTCGCTCCAATACTTCCTTAAGTCTAGAAAATCAACAAAACAATCAATTGAGCACCGATTAGTAGTTTGCTGCAGATTTCTGAGGTATAAATGCTCACACTGAAAATTTAACCAGAGCCAGTTGAAGCCAGCCCAGTACACACATGAGTATATACTATGTAGTAATACTTAACTTTCCGCTCTCAAGGAGCCTACTAGACATAGAAGCTGATCAATGCATAGTTGTTGGCTGTGTTGGATAAGGTATGCTGCAGACCATTCACATGCCAACATATTTCCACACTTCTACACATTTTGTTGTGGTTCAGTTATTTCAGTCAATCTGACCTTCGTGACCCCATTTGGGGTTTTCTTGGCAAAAATACTAGAATGGTTTGCTATTTCCTTTTCCAGCTCATTTTACAGATGAGCAAACTGAGGTAAACAGGGTTAGGTGACTTGCCCAGGGTCATACCTAGTAAGTGTCAGTGGCAGGATTTGAACTCATAAAGATGAATCTTCCCCATTCCAAGTCCAGTGCTCTATCCACTGTGCCACCTAGCTACCCACTTATACCCATACAGACCCTAAAATAGAGTAATTAATTCCATACAGAATCACAATTGTACTGAGGATCACATGGTATCATTAAAATCTGAACTGCTAGAACGTAAGTGCCAGTGAGGATGTCAGAAGAAGCTGTTTGTCTAGTTTGCTATGATCCTATCATTCAGGAGAGTCTGATCTATTGTATCTGATATTCTATCTAATTTGTTTTGTGCCTCAGCCCAGGAGGCAACTGCTCGTCTCACCATTGAATAGGTGCCCCCTCTGTCTCCCTAGATATAAATGAGCCCCACAGCATTACAAAAGTAAACATTTTATTGTGTTGTACATGAAATCCTTTTATTTTAAGGATAGAAAAATACATCTGGCTAAACAGGAAAGATTCCTTAAGCAAATAGGGGGTGTTTGTCAAAGTCTACAGTTATTGCAATATGATTTACAGTACCTGTTTGTGAAGGTGCTAAGGGAAACGCCCCAGGTGATTTTTAAAAAGGGGAAAAATATCTGTACATCCCACCCGGGAGTAGGTTGAAGAACTCAGGGAGGCATGTGCTGCTTCTGCCTCAGCATCAACGACAGAGTCCATCTGGATGCTGACGGGGCTTACTAGCGCTCAAGAGATGTTACCCATAGAAACAGCCATCAGCATAAGCTTGCATCCACCACTCGGGTCCCCTATCCAGCAATGCTCTGGCATCCAGTCTAAATGAAGGCAGCAGCACCTTTTGCCCCAGGATCTTGGGCAGCTTCAAAGGGGCACCACCTGCAGAGTGGGTAGAGGCCCTCTTGGAGGAGGGACGTACTCCTCCTCCCTCAGGAGCCGAAGCAGGATGTTCTTCTTATTCCGGGGCCAGCTATAAACATGGGTGTTCTGCAGCCACGTTGGCACGTGGTCCTGTAGGAAGGAGAGGTGGGTTGTTAGAAAAAACTCCTGGGTACCCCCACTCCCCCTCCAATACCCCCACCACCTCCAGCCACTCCTCATGCTAACTTCCTGGGACCACTGCCCTCAAACCTCAAGAGCTGGCTCATACTTGTTTTTCACCAAACTTGGTGGCATTTTTGTTTTGCTTTATAAAAATGGCGGGGAGGGGTGGGAGAGCTTACACCTGCAGCTCATCATATCTAAATCATGGAAACCACATGTACTGGGAATTTTCCATCAGGAAGACTCAACCTTCCTTTTAGGTTGTAATGCACTTTTCATCACCTTCACATGAAAGAGGTGGTGCCAAGGTTGCTCTGAGTGATGTGGTTTTTCCCATGGCTAGACAGGAGAGGGGGAAGGAAAGTTTGCTGGGACCATACGCTTCCTTTGACTTATTGTCCTTCCACTCTACCAGTTCCTGTCTGTGCTTATGGTCACAGAACTGGATGGGTGGATAATAAATATAGCTCAGTGCCAGTTGTTCCTGATCTAGTAGCAAAAGTGTAAAGTCAAAACAGGCTGATTCTTATTCTTATTCTTATTCTAATGCTGTCCTTAGGGTCTCTGCCATGGGACTGCCTAGGAGGTGAAGGTACCTTACAGTAAGCACCTTACCTCAAAGTGCTGTTGGTTAACCCCCAGTATGCTTAATTCCACCCATAGTAAACAATAGGGCCTCAAAGTTCCAACATGCTTCAGTGTTTTCTCATTATTATTATTATTTTTATTACACATTCATTCAAGTATCTGAGTCCTGTGGATCCTGTATTCTTCTCCCATTTCATTTTCACTTCAGTTCAGTTAAATATACTAAGCATGAACATATTGAATGCTAGGTGCTGGGGATACAGAGATCAAAATGACACAGTTCCTGCCTTCAAGGAGTTTATATTCTACTGTGAGCATAAATGTGCATAGAGAAGTAAATACAAGGTAGTCTCAAGGGAGAGCCCTGACAACTTGGGGTAAAAAGGAAAATTCTCCTGTAATTGATGGTACCTGGGCAGAGCCTTGAGGGAAGCTAGGGCTTCCATCTGGAGGAGGAGGAAAGGAAGGCGTGATCACAGGCCCAAGGGAAGGGCCGTGCAAAGGCATGGAGATGCCATGCATAATACGGGGGCTTTTCCTTCATGCCACACATTCTTGGTCATTTTACCAATGCAGTATTGTTAATCTCCCCTACTTTCTGTCCATTACTAGTAACTGCCAGATCTCTATCTTCCTACTTACTTTACCCTGACTTTCCTTGTACTTACTTTTTATAAACACAAACCCATGTATCCAACACGCTAGCTTCATCATTGGTTTCACACTCTGCCGCCTCACAAATCTACAATACATTAAGGATGTCTGTATAGCCTGGCTAACTACAGGTTAGGAAAGCTGTCCCTAATTCTTGTGCATAAAGATGACCTGCCCTGGGACCTGCGGCTAGTTCATGATTGACCTGGAGATTTTGATCTACTCTGGGACTGAAAAGGCCTTTTGGGGGTTAGACTGTCTCTGGGTTTCTACATTACATGGGTCTAGAACAAACCCATCTCCTGTCAAATTCCACCCAGTTGCAAACAATACCATAGAAGATGCCATTGGAACATGCTTCTAGAGGAAGAATATGGACATCTAGGTGGAACAATGGATAGAGGCCATGCTTGGAGCCAGGAAGACTCCTCTTTCTGAGTTCAAATGTGGCCTCAGACACTTACTAGTTGTGTGACCCTGAGCATGTTACTTAGCCCTATTTACCTCAGTTCCTCATCTATAAAATGAACTGGAGAAGGAAATGGCAAACCATTCCAGTATCTTTGCCAAGAAAAACCCCAAATAGAATCACAAAGAGTCAAAGGTGACTGAAAAATGACTAAACAACAACAAAAAGATGTTCCTGTCTTCTCCAGAATAAGTCCAGAGATTCCCATTCTACGGCCATGGGTACCTACCCTAGAGCAGATCAAAATGGCCAGTGCTGCCATCATATGGAAGGATCCTCCAGGTCTCTTCTGGTCCGAGCTGGACCCTGGCCTTACCCCATGGTAGTTACATGAGAGGGTTAGAAGGCATCCATTGCCAAAGTGATCTGTCTTTCTTTCATTTATTTATTTTTTTAAAAAATATTTTGTTTTTTCTAATTACATGTAAAAATAGTTTTCAACATTCATTTTTTACACAAAGTGATATTTCTAAAGCACAGGTCTCGTCATTTCCTCACTCAAGAAACTTCAGTGGGTTCCTGTTGCTCTTGGATAAAATACAAACTCCTCTGTTTGGCATTAAAAGAGTTTCACAGGCTGTCTCTAACCTGTTTTGCTAGACTGATTTCACATTACTCTTCCTCACACACTCTATGTTCCAGCCATAGTACACAGAACAAACAGCTTACTTGCTATTTCCCAATCACAACATATCGCCTCCTGCCTTAATGCCTTTGTATACACTGTCTCCCAAGTCTGGAATGGCTTCCCTCTCAGCTGCCTGCGCTGCTTGGAATCCTTGGCTTCCTTCAGAACCTAGTTCAAGCATCACCCCCTCGTAGCACTTCTAAGACCCCTTAGCACTTCTCCCTCTCCATAGTACTCAGCATATATTTTTCATTTACTTACCTATATACATATTGCCTCCCCCCCCCTCCATCCACAGTAGAACATAAGCTCCTTGAGAATGGATACTTTTCATTTTTGTCTTACTATCTTCAGGGCCTGTCACATTATTCTTAATAAATTCACCCTCCCCCAGTTTATGCAGTCCCTCCATCTTGAGCTGGTACTATCTCCTAGAACAAAAAGTCCTTACATGAACTGTGACAGAACTCAGTTTAAGGAGAGACCCCAGTGGAATTCACTTATCCTTCCAGCTAATGAGTGTTATACTAGATGAGCTTTTAGCTGAAATATAACAAAACACATCTGTTGAACAGCCAGCAAAGATAGGCACATACAAATAGTTGGCCTTTTATGTGTCTAGATAAGAGTATCAGATAAAATTCATGCTTCTCTATTTACTCTCATTGGTTAAAACAAGCCACTTCATAATGTGGAATAAGGTTTTGGAGGGGTAATTAAGACAGTGATGGTCCTGCCAGATAAAGCCCTAAAACCCAACTAGTGGCCAAACCTCTTGATCTTTTGGCTAACCTCACTTTCTGTAAGCACTGATAAAAAGTTGGCAGGTCTTTCCACTTCAGCTCCCATATAATAGAGCCAGATGACTCAAACTGCATTAATTATAAACTTTTTGGTTTTTACCTTCTTAGCGTTGGGGAAGAGCACAGGGATGAACCGAAAGTTCATGCTTCCTTGTTTTATGAACTCAATCTGCATCTGGAACCAGATAGATTTGGGGGTTTAATTGCAGGAATTAGTTTAAGAGGTTAATTAATGCTACCTGCACACACAGGCACAGGCAGTATTATGATTCTAATTTCCTTATTGGAGCACCAAGAGCTAATAATTTTAACTCTTTTCCTCTGCATGGTGCCATGCTAAGCAGTGGAATGAAAACATCAGTTCCAGTTTTTAAAAATATGATTTTCAAATTGTATAAATATGTTTTTCATAACAATTTTACTTTAAAAAAAAATCAGATGCCCTAAAAATGTTTCAAAATTATATAAAAACTGAGTTTCCAAGAAGTATATGGTAGAATAAGCACTGAACTTAGAATCAGAAGACCTAGGTTCAAGTTCTGCCTTTTACGAATACACCAGCTGTAAGATCCCAGGCACAACCTCTTGGTAATACAGGCAAATCTCTCAGGACTACAAAGTACAGACAAATTGCCTATACATATATAGATATATAGATATCAGTGGAGGGAGTTTTCTCATCAAGAGCTCCTCACAACAATAAAATCACAGGTCCAAACTATTTTACAGGGCATCTAGGTAGCACAGTGGTTAGATCACATGGCCTGGAGTCAGGAAGATCTAAGTTCAAATCCAACCTTAGATACTTACTAGATGTGTCACCCTGGGCAAGTCACTTAACCCTGTTTGCCTCAGTTCCTCACCTGTAAAATGGAGCTGGAGAAGGAAATGGCAAACCATTCCAGAGTATCTTTGCCAAGAAAACCCCAAATGGGATCATGAAGAGTTGGACATGACTGAAAACAACTGAACAACAACCAAACTATTTCTTCCTCTTCCCCCTAGAAAAATATTTTTTTACAAATATAATTTACACATAACCATGCCCCCACCAAAAGTCAGATGACCTAAATGATATACAAACTAAATTTTCAAGAACCATTATCAGCATATAGGAGAAAGAACACTGGACTTGGAGTTATACTATGAAAGGATGATATTTTTAGAGCTCTAAAAAGGAACCTCAAGGAACCTTTCTTTAGTCTAATCCCTTCATTTTACAGGTGAGGAAACTGAGGCCCAGGGAGATTAAGGGATTTATCCAAGTTTACATAGGTAGTAAATATCAAACCAGAACCAGTACACTTTCTACTACACCATTGATTTGTGGTCAAAAGAGCTGGGTTCAAGTGTAAACTCTGTTACCTAACAGCTGTGAGACTTTGGGGCAACCATTTAACCTTTCTAAAGTTCTTTTCCCATTTGTGAAATGGAATATAGTTGCACCACCTCTCAAGGTTGTTATGTAGAAAATGTTTTGTAATCTGTAAAGAGCAGTACAAATGTGTGTCTGAGCATTAATAGCAGTGCAGACCCGTAAACATCAAAGTATGGTGCTGGACACAGAGGTGAAGGGTGTCAGGTTTAAGGTGGCCAGTGACTGGTGACCACCAGGTTGAAGCTAACTTCCAGTCGCAGTATAATTGCATACAGTTTGCTTTCACCCTGAGACAGATCTTTCTGGTCAACATAAGTCATTTTTGCTCTGCTTTCTAACTTGCCTATGGGGACTTCTCCACCCATACCATGAAGTTGCAATGTTTATTCCCCTGGAATTGCTTACTTGTTGGACAGGTCCCAAGGTGTCAGCTTATTTAGCAGAATTTGCCTCCTACCTGATCTCCCTATCAGCACTTAGGTATGGTGGAAGGGTCCTGACACCATTCTCCATTTAACTTAATTTTCACATATTTAGATCATGCCTAGGGTAGTCAGTCCATAAGTGTGTGGTTGTTTCATGTATACTTGCCTGGCTCAGCTGAGCTCTGGGGAGCTGGAGTAGGAACACTTCTGAGTGTGTGTGTACCCCAGGAACTGGCACTGGACTGAAGCACTACCCACACACCAACTGTTGGCATGAGCTATGTGCTTGGAAATGGAGAGAGCACGTGGAGCCCTAGGAGTATGCTTCCAGTCACCAGAGCCTTCATTCTGTCAACTAATGGCCAAGGAGTATAAAAACCCTGAGTCAGTAGTAATTGTGAGTCAGTTTACTCCATGGACTGGCACCAGTGTGGGGTTCCAACGTGAAAAACTATTGTTGTCCTGAAACCAGAGACAATGTCCGTTATAAGTTTTTCCTCACCTCCTAATTTTGTCCTTTGATTCTGTCTCCTGCTTCCGAGACTGGATATAAGCCCTAAAATAACTCATTCCTGCCTTTAATTCAGACTTTGCCCTATGTGTAATGGAAAGAGCTCTGGATTGGGAGTCAGAGGACCTGGGTTCAAATCTCAGTCTACTCTTTACTAGCTATATATGAGGATGGGCATGTTCACTTAACCCTCCCTGGATCTCAGTTCTTTTATTTGTAAAATGATGGGGTTGGACTACTTTATTTCATTGGAAATTAGAATTAGAGATTATCTAGTGATTAGAGATCATCTTTCATTTTATATATGAGGAAACTGAGGCCCAGAGAGGTGAAGTCTCCAACAACCCCTTCCAACTATAAATTCTATGATTCTGACAATTTATAGGCTCTCTTTCAAGAAAGAGGCTGAGCCAGTGATGACCTAGTGAGTTAAATATGAGCCATTTTGTCCCAGTCCTTATGTTCCCAACCTATTCGGAGTACCCAGACCTTTAAGTCCTGCTTCACTTTGCATCCCCCAATTGTGTTGTTTACTTATCTCAAACTTGCCTGACCTCCTGGCCCTGGATCCTGCCCTTGTCCCCTTGCCTTAGGCAGAGATCCCCGATAGCAGCTGTTCCAGTTCTCATTTCAGGTTCTTTGCCCCTGTTCTTGGTGAACAGGATAACCCCTTAGTAATGGAACAGTTTGAATTGCTGGCAGATGTTACCTGATACAGCACAGAGGGAGAGCCTTAACCCAGCACTCATTAGGCCCAGAATCTGAAGAACTTCAGAAGTGATCCGATCTCATGTTGCCTAATCCAAATATACTATAATTCATTCCCCACCCCCATACCATGTTGGCAGCCGCTCAGGATCAGGGACTGAAAGTTGGGGAGAAAAAGGAAGCAGGGAATGAGAGGAGCAGGATAGATAGAAGGAAGAAAGAAAAAAGTCAGCTTTAAGTAGCTAAGCTTTAAGTAGGAAGGGCCTTCGGTAGTAAAAATTTGGGTTTCTTCACTCCTTTCATAAAGTTGGAGTGCTCATCATGCCCTAATTGCTTGTCTACTGCAGAGCTCACCTACTAGTGAGCTGCTGGTGCTGATTTTAGGCAGGTGGGTGGAAAACCTGGAGCCAGTCCAACCTCCCACCTACAGCTCGAATCCCTTCTACTTTATGCCCGGGAGATGAGCATTCAGTCTTTTTTTTAAAATCTCTTCAGTAACAGTGACATCACTACTTACTAGAACAACAACCCTGTTACATCCGTCGACAGCTCTGGTTGTTAGCTTTTGTGCCAAAACCTGTTTTCTCATAGCTTTCTTCAATCAGTCCTAGTTTAAGTATTCTCTGCAGGCCCGCTGGGAAGTCGGACCTTCTGCACTTGTCATAAGAGAGGGCAGGGGAAGCAAATCTGACCTAATAATATTATAACTCACACCTTACAGCATTTTCCTCAAAAACAAAAGGCAAATCAAGAATTGTGTGAGGTAGGTGGTAATGAATATCCTTGCCCCCATGTTACAGATGAGGGAGCTGAGGCCAAGAGACAGAAGTGACTTGACCAACATCACACAGCTTGAAGCTTGAATGCAAGTCTCTCGAGTGCAAGTTCAATACTCATACTACGTTTTGTTCATGGTGTCATCGATTTGGAGCTAGAAGGGAGCTTAGAGATCATGTACGCTAAGCCTCCTCATTTTACAGGGTGGGTAAACTGAGACACAGAATGATGAAATGACTTGCCCCTGGTCACAGAGTCAGGGAATGGTCAAGACAGGACATAGCTCAAGTACTCCAACTGCAGATCCAGTGTCCTATCCTCTCCCCCATGATGCTTTCTGTTCTAACCCCTCATCCTCATAGCAAGCTTTCAGCGTCTTTTTACACAGCCAGGCAAACACAGTGCTGAACCCCCAAGGAAAGAGATGTGATTTGTTAGAGAGAATGCTTATGTCTCCAGGAAGGTGAGCCATTGCAGCTTTTCTCAGCAATCCTGTCTACCCAGGACTTACCATCCTGTGGATGTACTTAGTATGTAAGCCGTGCTCATCTTCGTCCAGCTGGGACTCTGCTCCTTCCACATCCTGTTTGTATTTGGGGCTGATTGCAATGATTATCATCACAGTCTTCTGTTAATGAGAGAGAGAGGCACTTTTATGGATGTGTAAAGTGCAGTCTGTTTGGTAAAGGCAGGTTGGAAACCGGCCAGCCAGGATCTTAAATATCCTCGGATGTGCTGAGGGAGGAGGACAAGTTTCATTCACTCAGGAAAGTAAAATGCATCACAATCCCTACTCTGTCCATCCACTTCTTTTCCCCACTCCCCTCTCCAATCAAATACCTGATGTAAACAGCTGCAGGAGGCAGTCTCCAAATAGATATTTATTGACCGCCATTTTCTGTAGCTATGCTTAATAACCATCTTAGGAAGAATTGCATTATGTAAGAGAAAAATATTCAGCAGGATTCAGCCTCCATGCAGAAAGACTTTGTGTCAATGATGAACTGCAACTCTGCAGCTAATGGCTGCCTTTCCTTTTGAATTCAGCTTAAGAATCTGAAGAAAGAAGTTCTCCTACACAAAGCAAACCCCTCCACACTTCATACAAAAGGCCTGCATTGTAGGGAGGCCCCAGGCCCCCGCCAGCCCCCTGCAGAAAGGTTAGGTCAGCACCAACCAAATTGCAGCTGCAACACTGGTCAGCACCAACCAGGATGCAGCCGCAACCATCAATTTCTTTCCTGTTAAACTGCAGAGTGTCCTCTGCACAGAGCCTGGCCAGCCAGCCCAGGGAAAACAAATCACAGCTCAGTGAGCAAAGAACTGCTGTGGATGATTTAAGGGGTTTCAGAGATGACAGAGTACCCAGTAAGAGAACCTGCTCAGGAAGGCCCCAAGACTAAGCAAAATGCTGAAGGATTGGGGAAGGGGGAAGAGGAGGGACGGGAAAAGATTGACCTCCCATTACACTGGATTTCCATCTTTCTCTATTGTTTAAAAAAAAAAGTTTACCCTGATTTTTATCAATCATCTGTTCCTGGTCTCATCATTATTTGCAGTTTGCCGTCTTTCCTTCCTCCACAGGATAATGTCACCTACCTTCTCATTCTCCTTCCCTCTGTCCCTGTCGAGCCTGCATACCTCACAAGAGTGGGGGTTTTTTTAGGGTCAGTCTAGGCTTTTAACACAGGCAAGAGACAGAGCTTCTGAACCAAACAACTAGGATTGTCTATCTTTTAGAATTCTGTGCTTCTTTTAAGGCTTAGCTCAAATAGCACCTCCTGCATGAGGCTCTTCCTGATCCCCCTAGTTATCCATCAACAAGCATTTATTAAGCACCTACTATGTGCTAGGCGCTGTGCTAAGCCCCAGGGATACCAAGAAAACCAAAAACACGGAGCCTTCCTCAAGAAACGCACATTTTAACAAGGGGGAACAACATGAAAATAATTATGTACACACCAGATATATAGTGTAATTGGAAAGTAATCTCAGAATGAAGACCCTTATAGCTGGGGGAACAGAGAAAGGCCTCCTGCCAAAAGACACAGTCAAGAGATGGAGCACTGTGTGAAAAACAACAAGGAGGTCAGTATCTCTGGGTCATGTGATACATGGAGGGAAATAGCATATAAGAAGGCTAGAAAGGTAGGAAGAAACAGATTATGAAGAGCTTTTAAAGCCACAAAGAGGATTTTACATTTTATTTTGGAGGCAACAGGGAGACTCTGGAGTTTATTTAGTAGTTAGTATGCCCCCATAGTACTCTGTATTTACTTTGTATATGCTTTATATACATTTATATATATTTAGACATGTGTAAATGTCATAGGCCCGGCCTCCCTCCACCCCCACCAGATTATAAGCTCCTTGACGGCAGGGACTAAGTTGTTTTCAACTTTGTGTCTTTAGCACCTAGCACAATGCCTGGCATCTACCAGGTACTTAATAAAAGACTGTTGGGTGAATAAATGAATGAATCCATCCCAGGAAAGAATGAGTGGATCTTGTAGTTTTGGTGTTTGCTTACATCACGAAGGTAGCGCTCCATCCATTTGATGATGTCAATGCCTCGGACTCTATCCTCAAATATGTCTATCTGTAAGAAGAGGATTTGGGGAAGAGAGTGTTAATGAAGTTGACAGCAGATTCAGGTTGTGGGGAGGCATGAATAGTAAGAGATTTTAAAAGTGCCCCAGATTGTTGCTAATTATTTTGGGGTAGATGATGTGATTAAAGGGGAAACCCATGTCTAAAGAATAAAAGAAAATTTCCTTAAAATATTTCATATCTCCACATTGTTCACCATTTGAATATTTAATATTCATTATTAACATAGTTGTTACTTCTGTTTATACAATTACAGTGGCTCTCATACACTAAAGCTATCTCCAATTACATTTTTTTTTAAAGCTGAAAGTCATAGTTGACCATAAACTTAATGGGTCAGTAATATTTAACAAACAAGCAAACAGAAATAAACATGATCCTAAGAATGCAAAACATAGCAGAGCCAGGAATAATAGTTCTGTACTCTACATTGATCAGATGCCTAATTAGATATCATGTCCAACTTGGGCTTGGATATTTCCAAAAAGATTACGGAAAAACACAGTACTTTACACATGGAATTGGGGGTGGGAAAGGCACTTAAATGTTGGCACAATGGAAAGAGCCCTGGATTTAGAGTCAGAAGATAATGGGTTCAAATCCTACCTTTGTCACTTACTACCTGTTTCATCTTAGGCAAATCACTTTCACTTTCCTGAACCTCAGTTTCTTCATTTGTAAAATGATGGTATTGAACTCTATAGCCTCTAAGACTTTTTATAACTCAGTCTATTATCCTATTTTAATAGAACATTAAAGATTTTTAAAAAGAAATGAAATGTTAATATTAAACTAGGAGGAGGCCCAAGGAACAGCAACTAAAATGAGTCCTGGAATGAAAATAATTCTTATTATGAAAAATGAAGAGTTGGGACTATTCAGCCTGAGAGTGGGATTTGGGCAGTTTGATGGCTCTAAAGGCTTCCAGTTTAGGAGTTATTATTTAGAAGGTGCTTATTATTCTCCAGTTCCATAGAGGACTAACTGAAACATCCCCACTTGGCAGTCTGTTATAGAGGGGAGCCATCAAACTGCCCAAATCCCACTTTCTGGCTAAATAATCCCAACTCTTCATTTTTCATAATAAGAATTATTTTCATTCCAGTACTCATTGTAGTTACTATTTCTTGGGCCTCCTCCTAGTTTCCTCTCTACAACATACTGCCAAATAGGGATGTTCTTGTTAGTCCTCTGTGGACTTCAGGGTGATTACATGCTGGAACTGGCACCCCAAAAGAGACTGTGAAATCTTTTTTCCTGTAAATATGCTATCTAAACCACCCTGCATACAGTTGCCAGGTTGATATCCCTAAAACATTGCCTTTGTCAAGTCCCATCTGACACTCACCTCCACATTTTGACTCATGTCTCCTGACCTCTCTATCCCTGCCAAATGTCCTCTCTGGTTCTTTTCAAAGACCACTTCACATCCCACTTTCTCCATGAAATTTTTGCAGATGATTGCAGTCCTTATTGAGTTCTCTTGCCTCTTAATTCCTTTTTAAAATCATTATCTGCCCAATAATTAGACAACTTCCTGTATATGGTCAGTCTTGTCTTATTGGCCCTTCTTTATAATGCTTTCTTATTCACTGTTTTGTGTGACCATGTTTTATCCTTGAAATTGGATTGATTGTAAGCTCCTTAAAGAAAGTGATTGTGTTTCATAGTAAATTCATGTGCCCCATAATGCCTAGTTAGGCACATAGTGGGCACTCAATAAATGCTGGTTGATTGAATCTCCCAAACAGCAAAGCTCCAGTTGTGGGGGGTGGGGGTGGAGAGGAAGCACAGGGTGGTAGAAAGTGAGTAATGAAATACCGGGGTTTGAATTACCCTTCTAACAACTTATTTGTTGTAGTTGTGCTAGGGCAATTCACTCGACCTTTCAGAGCCCTAGTTCATCTGTAAGTTGGTGGTAATAATTCCTATAGTTGCCACCCCCAACAGAGTTGCTGGGAGGGAAGCTCTTTGTCAACCTTAGCATACCTACTGAGAGGTGAGCTATTATTATGGGGTGACCTATGGCTTTTATCAGCTTTAAACCTGAGGACTGGGGCAAATGATAAGCTTCTTCTGAAGATTCTAGCAGTAATGTTAACCCCAAATGTAAATTACTCAGTGATAGTAAATAAAGGAGGCACAGTCAGTAACCCTGTTAGGGCTTGAGAGTGCCATCTTTGCTAGCTTACACTGGTACCACTGTGTCGGCTCAGCCTATGAGCCTGTGCTAAGGACTTCACAGTGAGAGGCCACCATAGTCATAAATAGCCCAGGCAGTCCCAGATTGGCAAGGAGGCCACAAAAGAACACAGGCATCCTCCAAAGGTGATCTGTTTATTTTGCAATTAACCAAGAGTAAGTGGAAGGGGGTAGGAGGAGTTGGACACTGCCTTTTGAACCTTTTTGCCTGGGGCTCTGGAATTTGACTTCAGTACACACTAGACCAAGACTTTTTTTTTGAAATTTCAGCAAGGAGAGAATGATATGCTGCTAGTTACTCAGTAACAAGGGCATTGTGATTTTATTACAACATGTGCACTAATGCATTTTTTTAAACTTTGAGAGGTTCCTAGACCAGTCAGATTTTATTAGAAGAAAACGATGAATTTAAATAGATACCTCTGTTAAGTGATGCTAAGTAATTTTGAAAAAGAAAATTTAAGTGACAAGCGTCCCCTCTTTATCCTCCCTTTTCATCCTACAAACTGCCTATTTTTTATGCATTCCTTCAATTTTGTACCATCTTGCAGAATGTAATCATCAGCAATTAATATTTATTGCCTTCCCACAGAGTACACAGAGGACTTCATAGGAAGGAGAGGAGAGGCCTCTTTTCACGTAAAAATCTGCAGTTTCACAATATAGCTCCTTGTGGTGTGATTTCATTTCTCCCAAGAGCCAACACCATGGTCTTGCCTTAAGTTCCATTGAATCAAGGAACTGTGGTGGGGCAAGGAGGGTCAGAATTTTCTGAGCTTCCTGAATTGGCCCAAGATCAATGTTAGCAGCAAGACTAGGGTTAAATGTTTTGTTTCCAGATTGCTTGGTCTAGTGAAGAAAGAATCAGAGCACTGAATAGAACTGGCCAATTATGCCCTCTCTAGAAAGGGGTTGGGGGTAGGGAGAGAGAAGGGAGACAGCATATGTGCAGAGGTAAACGTGGACTATGGTGGTGCTATTTAATGTGGCCTAAAATTAAATGGAACAAAGGTATCCTGCCTTTCCCCTTCCTCCATTGCCTCTAACCATATATCCCCATTTTCACTTGAGGGTTGGTCACTTAGGACCAATGAATAAATAAATCTATCTGGAAGGCTAAGTTAAAGCAATTTTCCTTTGGGGCTGCTTTTAATATAGCATCACTTCTAACTAGAAGGGAGTAGTCCAAAGGCATTATTACTGTTTGGTATGTAGTGGTGGGAATGGAACTGGACCTGTGATTTCATTGGCAGAGAGCTCTCAGAGAAGAACTCCCTCTACCAAACAGTTCCTTTTATGAAATTTACAATCTTGGATAATTGCCTGGGGGCGCTAAGAGATTAAATGATTTGTTGAGAGTTACAGAGCCAATATTTGAATAAGCAAGACTTGAACCCAGGTCCTCCTGAATTTGAGATTGGCTTTCTATCTACTCTATCACATTACCTCTCAGTGGCAAGCAAGGCTTATGAAATGAAAGGAGAAGTTCATGGTATCCCATATCTCAAGGAGCATAACCACATTGGTCAGAGTTAGCTGGTAAAGGAGAGTAGCTGACAACTAGAAGGTAGACAAAGTGTTTTACATACTTCTCATTGCAGCCTTTTGAGATGGGGATTACAGGCACTATTATCCCCATTTTACAGATGAGAAAACTGAAGCTCATAGAAGTAAAGTGACTTGATTTTATGATTACACAGCTAGTAAGTGTCAGAGGTGGGATTTGAACCCAGGCCTTGATGAGTCTAAGTCCAGCTGTCTGTCTAATCTGCCATGCTTCTTCTTGATAAAATATGCACCAGAAGTTCTCTATTCTAGTTAGGTTTTGGAAGAGACTCATGCATGTTTTCTGTGGTATTAAAGTCATTTCAAAAAAGCACACAGGAAACACCACAAGAGAACTTGGATAATTTCAAATTTACCTAAACCCACAACCATTAAATTTGTATTCAGATAAAACATAAATAAGACAGTTTAAAATGTCAGCAGCTAGCTGCTTTATTTATCTCTCTCCTCTTTTTGATTCATTATCTTATCTCCCTTGCTGTGCTGTCTTCTCTTTGGATAAAATACTTACAGCAGTTTGAAATCCATTTACCAACAAAAAGTTCACAAATTTCACCACCTCCCCAGCTGTGTCCACAGAGTAGGTTATGAAGACTTTTCCTAAGAGAGAAATTTTCACATAAATTAGAAACTAGGCAGAGCACTCAATTAAAAAAAAAAGGACTGAATTTTATACTGTTTCAATTGTTCCTCTGTAAAGGGAAACCTGTCTAGTCCATTGATAGTATTATGCCTCCAGCCTAGTGGGGGCAGCTGGGTTGGCCTAGTGTCCTCTGAGTTCTCCTCCCTCTCCAGTCCAAGAAGGCTAAAGTTACTTCTGCACATTAGCTCAGTCAAGTAGGGGGATAGGGGACTTGGAAAAGGTGAGTTCAAGAGGCAGGTGACTGATAGGGGTATCACTTACTGACCAAAGGAAGGTAAGGCCTCTGGTTCTTTGCCATGTGAACATCAGTTAAACCAACTGCTAATATTTAGCTTGGAAAAGAGAAGACTATGGAGGGACATGTCTTCAAGTATTTGAAAGTCTGTCATTTGAAAGAGTGATTCGTGTTATTTGGTCTCTTAAAGCAAAACCAGGAGCAATGAATAGAAGTTGCAAAGGGCAAATTTCAGTGTAGTTCCAGGAAAAATTTCTTTTTAAAAAAAATTTTATGGTATTTTTTCAATTACATATGAAGACAAATTTTAACTTTAACATTCAATTAAAAATTTTGAGTTCCAAATTTTCTCCCTCCCTTCCTCACCTCCCTCCTCTCTAAGAGGATTAAACAATTTGATATAGGTTATATATGTACAGTCATGTAAAACATATTTCCATATTAGTCATGTGAAAGAAACAAACCAAAGGAAAAAAAAGACACACACACACATACGATAAAGTGAAAATAGTATGCTTTGATCTGCGTACAGACTCTTAGTTCTTTCTCTGATTGTGGATAGCATTTTCCTCACGATTCCTTTGGAATTGTCTTGAATCACTGTATTACTGGGAAAGAGTCAAGCCATTCCTAGTTGATCATTGTACAGTATTGCTGTTAGTGTCTTCCTGGTTCTGCTCATTTCACTTTGCATCAGTTCATGGAAAAACTTAATTAGAGCTGTCTAGAAGTAGTATGCGCTTCCTTCAGAGTAGTGGCTTCCCCCACCTTGGAGGTCTTCAAGAAGAAACTGGACAAGCGCTTGTCGAGTACATTATAGTAGAAATTCCTTTTAGGTACAAGTTAGATGATGTGGCTGCTAAAGTCCCTTCTAATGCTAAAATTATGGAATTCTATAGTGGAAACCATTGGACCTTAGGGGGCTTAGAAACAGTTGCTTATATGGCCAAAGGAGGATATGGCACAAAAAACAGAAGATTTAGAACTAGAAGAGAGACTTCCTTATAGCTCATTTAGTCTCTTCTAGTATTTTACAGATGAGAAAACTGAGGCCCACAGAATAACCTGGGTAATGTACCCAATGTCCCACAAAGAATAAGTAGCAGAGTCAGAATTCTTTTTTTTTTTTAGTGAGGCAGTTGTTGGGGTTAAGTGACTTGCCCAGGGTCACACAGCTAGTAAGTGTCATGTGCCTAAGGACGGATTTGAACTCAGGTCCTCCTGACTGCAAGGCCAGAGTTTTATCCACTGTGCCACCTAGCTGCCCCCAGAGTCAGAATTCAAACCCAGGTCCTCTCACTCTGCACCCAGTGCTCTTTAATACTCTAAGCTTAGGGGGCCTCCCTACAGATATTCTGAAGGCTGAGAAATCATATGATGGCTTTAAAACAGTGTCTAGAGTCTGCCTTATCCTTGTGATGAAGCCATCCCTGTCTGCTTACAATCATACTTGGTACTGTGCCCAAGAAACTCTCTGTGTCCTTGAATATGACAACAGAGTTGAGGATCACTAAGTGAGGTACCCTAGGGAAATGTATAAGAACAGAGAGCCAACCGCTGAGCCCTTTTTCATAGCTTGATGCTCTCTGATGACCTGCTGCTCTTTCCTGACTACTTCAGGGCAGTAGGGGTGGGAAGGTAGGGCAACTTCAACTATTTATTAGGTACCTACTGTTTATACATTGGGCACTGGAGGGTGATACAAAAATTAAATTAGACATATTTCCTACCCCACAGAGCTCAGAGTACATTAGGTGAATACAATACAATACATATATATAAATAAGTACAATATAAAATGTTATATGGTAAGGGCACAAGAGAAATGTAAACTAAGTGATATGTCAAGATGTGTTGGGGAGGGAAGGATTTTCATTAATTAGGGAAATTAGGAACAAGGGCTTCATGAAGAAGATGGCAATGGGAATTGGGGGTAGAGGTTAGGGAGAAGGGCATTCCAGGGAGAGGGAACAGCAGGAACAAAAACATGGAGGTAGGAAAATGAAGGATGTTTCTGATTTGTTGATTTGAAATCAACAAATTTAAGATTTAAGAAGATTCAGAGATTGTAGCTGAAGGTGTAGGCACAGATGAGTTTGATAAGGGATATGATGTAGGGGGTAGAAGGCCTAAAGATAGAACTTTGGGGAATAGGACTATTGAGGAAGCAGTGTGATAGAGTGGTAGAATGATTTCTGGACTTGGAATCAGAAAGACCTTGTTTCAAATATTGCCTCAGTAGTAACCTATTAGCTATGAATGAGTTGTTTAACCTCGTGGAGCCTCAGTCTTCTCATATGTAAAATGGATGTGCTAATATCACCAGCCTCACAGAATTTATTGTGAGGATGTTTATAAAGTGTTTTGCAGGCCTTAAATATATGTGAACTATTATTTTAAGAGGTCAGGAGGGGTTCATTAACTAAGAGATCTGAGGATAAATGAGAAAGGCAAGAGAACCAGCCCCATATGGTTCTCAGAAACCAAAGGAGGAAAGTACATCCAAAAGATATGGGTAATCAATAGTGTCAGATACTGCCAAGAGTTCAAGGAGGGTCAACTGAAAAAATATATATATATATATATATATGTGTGTATATATATATATATGTATATGTATGTATATATGTATATGTATATACATATATGTGTATATGTATATATATATGTATATATACATATATATGTATGTGTGTATATGTGTGTGTGTGTGTATATAGATATATATATGTATATATTGGACCTGGCAATTAAGGAAACTGTTGGTACCCTTTAGGAAAGCAATGGAAGCTAGACATTTAGGGATTGAGAAATTAGTGGGTTGGGAAGGAGTACAAGTGTTGGGTACTGATGACTTTTTTCTTTCTTTTTTTTTTTTTTTTTGTTTTTAGGCAATTGGGGTTAGGTGACTTGCCCAGGGTCACACAGCCAGTAAGTGTCAAGTGTTTGGTCTGAGGTCGAATTTGAACTCAAGTCCTCCTGACTTCAGGGCCGGTGCTCTATCTACTGCGCCACCTAGCTGCCCCCCCAACTGATGACTTTTTTCAAGAAGCTTAGCATAACAAAAGGCAAGAGAAGTGGGTTGGTAGCTGGGTGGAACAAAAGGATCAACAAATGATTTTTTTAGGACTGGGGAAATCTAAACATTTCTATAAGCACATGGGATGGAACTAGTGGGAAAGGGAGCTTGAGGATGCATGGGAGAAAGTGGATAATTGGTGTTGTAATGTCCTGGAGAGTGTAGGAGGAAGAAGTGTCAAGAAGTAGAGGAATTAAAGAGATCATAAAAATGGGAAAAGGACCCACATGTACAAAAATATTTATTGCATCTCTTTCTGTGGTGGCAAAGAATTTGAAATGGAGGGGATGCCTATCAATTGGGGAATGGCTGAACAAGTTGTATATTAATGTAATGGAATACTACTGTGCTATAAGAAATGATGAGCAAGTAGACTTCAGAAAAACCTGGAAAGACTTGTATGGACTGATGCTGAGTGAAGTGAGCAGAACCAGGAAAACGTTGTTGTACACAGTAACAGCCACATTTTTCGATGGCTAGCTTTGATAGACTTAGTTCTTCTCAGCAATGCAAGGCTCTAAGACATCTCCAAAAGTCTTATGGTGGAAAATGCTATCCACCTCCAGAGAAAGAACTATGCAGTTGGAATGCAGATTGAAGCATACTATTTGCAATTTTTTTCCTTCTGTTTTGTTTTGTTTCTTCTTTCTTTTGGTTCCTCCTATTGATTCTATTTCTTCTTTACAACATGACTAATGTGAAAATATGTATATGTAGAGCCTATATCAGATTGCATGCTGTCTTGGGGAGGGAGGTAGGGAGGGAAGGGGAGAAAATTAGAACTCAAAAGCTATAGAAGTGATTGTTGGAAACTAAAAACAAATTTAAAAAAAGAAGTAGGGGAATTAGCAAAGAGTCAGGAACATATTGTCTTTAAGACAGGAGGGAAGGTGTAGAGATTGGGTTAAGATACTGACAAGTTTGGAGATATGATGAAGAGGAATTGAAGGAGCTCACACTGAATGACTTTTCTCATAAAAGACATATGAGTCATATGCTATGAGTGTAGGAGGTTGGGGATATGAAGAGTTAATAAAATAATTGCTATGACTGATGATTTTGAGAATCAATGAGAGTGGAACACAAGCATTGTTGAGTAGCAGAGAGGGTCCAGCTAAGGTTATACACTGTAAATTTGTAGCTGACAAAACCATTATGATTTTGTAACTTTATTTGATCACTTTCATCATGACAGGAACATCATTGAAGAAATCAGATGTTGGGTGTTAAGAATTAGCAGGGCAAGAATGATGGAAAGTCAGCATGTTAGAAATGACATCAAAATAAACAGTGACATTGCCAAAGATGATGATGGCAGGGAATAATATGGAAATACAGACAGGGAACCAAATGCTAATGCCATTGACATAGCTAAGAGAATAATCTGAAAGTTGATAAATAACAGTAACAAAAAGGGAATTAGAGTTTTATAAATAGATTGCATGGACTTCACAGTAGGAAAGGTTATGAATCATGGTGACAGATGGATGGTCTGGAAGTGGGAGTGAAGAACAAAAAAATATACCAACCCTTCTTCCTGCCCATATAAGAAGGGTCAGAATTGGGAAAAGAAGAAGCCTCCATTGGAGAATATTTGGAGAGACTTGTGCTTTAGAAAAGCCAGCTTTCTGTTAAAGTGAGGAGGTTGCAGAAGTTCCAAAAGGCACACAGTTGAATGGACTGGGGAAGGGGACAGAGGACAAGAGTTGGTCAGAGGGAAAAGTAGAGGTGTGCTGACTGGGGATGAAAGTTTGGTAAGTGGTAGTACAATTTTGTAATTCATGTCTAGTGTGATAAAACTTGATGACAAAGATTGGGGGATCTCATAGCATAGGAGGTAGAATGGTATAGTGTATTGGTAGCAGGGGAAGATAATTGTTGAGTAGGTTAGAAATTAGTCTCTGGAGTTATAGTATTAATTAGATCCAAAGTTTTGTTTGGGGAGGGGAGGGTTGGTGGCCTGCATGGGATCTCATCCTTGGGTGGTTTGGGGGCTTTTTAAATGATGTCTACAGGGATTCTGAGAGGGGAACAGTGGGGAGGAATAATTAACCAAAGGCCTGCATAGGAGGCATGATGTAGTAGAAAATCTACAATACTAGTCAGTAAGAGAAATGTCTATGTGACCTTGGGAAAATCACTTAACTTCTTTTCCTTATCTGTCAAATTATAATTACAGTATTTATTACCTACATCACAGGGTTGTTGTGAAAAAATTGCTTTGAAACCTTGACTGATGTACATTGGAATTATTATTACATAAAATGTGGATACTAATTTTTAGGGCCACATGATTTGTGGTGGTAGGGTGGAAGATGGGAGGGAAGTAGGAATTCTCTTCAGTTGTTTTTTCAGTTGTGTCTGACTCTTTGTGACCCCCTTTTGGTTCTTTTAAGATGCTCTAATTACAAACCTACATGTGTAGAAACTAACCTTCTTTTTAATTTTGAGATAACAAAACAAAAAACAAAAAACATTCTGAATGGAAAAGAAAATGTATCCATGGCAAAGAAATCTTCCAAGGCAGTAAAGGAATAAATAAGACGGACATGGACCACACATTTCCATTCCCCTAGTGAGCAGTAAACCCTACAGGGTTTTATTTCAGGCCTGGTTCTGAGAAGCACCCAGACTTGGAAAATGCTTATTGGAATCATCTGGGTTTCTCCAGTAAGCACAACAGAATGCAACAATTCCATGAGAAATGCTTGTTTTTATAAGGTTTCTGGAATTCACAGTCCTGCCTGACCTTAATATGAGAACATTTTGGTGATATTTCAACATTTCTGGTTCTGGCCAGAAAAAAAATAAAGGGGAAGAGGAATCACCATCTGACACTGGGCTGAATGTCTTTTTGAATTAAGTGTTTGATTGTGAAGCCTTATGGAGGATGTTAACCCATTTTTCCAAACCCAATGTCTCATCCCTCCAGAAAACTACCTCTTTCTTGATGGTTGCTGCTAATTTATGGTGAAATGTGAGGTCCTTGGCCGATGCCAAGCACACACATGCAGACAACTGATCAATTCCAATAAGCAGCTGAGCAGCTCAGGACCATTTAGAAGAAGGGAGGGAGAAATGGGTATTCTTTTAAAAGAAAATCCAGTAGTGAACAATTTCCTGAGCATGACTGATAGCCCTTACAGGGTTATCCAACATACACTTGCTAAATGCCCGGTAACTTTTAAAGCAAAACAATTCCTTTTATTGGGATTATTTGAAATATCCCAAGACTAGGGATTATGAAGCATCAAGAGTGACCAGAATAACAAGATTTCACAACAAAGAAGAGAAACCAACATGCACGCAACTTACGCAGTTCTTCTGGCAAATTGCTTGTTTTTAAAGTCCCTCTGATGGCAGGTGTACTAGGGGGTCTTGGGATGGCAGCTGGGGAAGGAATCTGGTTAATCTGGGGTCTGAAGTCAGCAGGATACTCATAGGATTCATCCTGAGCAGCAGCTTGGTGAGGTGGCTGGTTATATATCTGACCCCTGGGAAGGAAACAAATAATGGAAAATGTGTATTCTGCCAAAGAAAAACTATGGGGCACACGGTGTCTTTGAGAAATACAAGACGATAGTTGTCTCCTGTACTTCTATCCTTTTTCTCAAACCTGGAGATGAACAGAGGTTTGATGTGACTTTAAATATTTACAGATACCCTACTCTATCCAAGGCTCTGTGCTAGAATTATTGAGGTTGGGGAAAGGGAACCCCAACTATTGGGGAGGATATGCCAGAGAATTTTAATTATTTTTTTGTCTTTTAACTTGTGTGATATTTAGTGGGTTTTTCCCTGTATCTGTATATACACTTCTGCCATGTGTATGTGTATGTCAGCTCTCAATACTAAGCCCAGTACTTGGCACATAGTAAGTGCTTAATAAATGCTTCATTCATTCATTTGTCAACAAGGAATAGTGGATAGTCAAGAAGAACTGAGTTAAAGTACCACCTTTGATACAAATTATCTTTGTGACCATGGGCAAATTATTTGACCTCTCAGTGCTACAGGCAACTCTCCAAAACTGTAAGTGAAAAATAAGTTGCTGATATGCATCAGTGGAGTAAATTTTCACACCAGTCGTTCCTGATACCAATAAAATCATAGGCCTAAACTGCCTCCTTTTTTTCCCTCCAAAAAAAATTAAGGAACAGTATGGATAGTAACGATGACTATAGATACTGAATAACTAACAAAATGAGAAGAGTAAAAAAAAATTTAATGGCTTGGCTGTGTAAAATTAAAAAATACTAATTACTTTCATTTTTTAAAAATGGTTTACCATTTCTTCCTATCATATAGTTCAATAATGTATATATACATATGTATCATAAGTATATATACATATATAATGTATATATACATAAGTATCATAAGTATATATGCATATATATATAATGTATATATGCATGTATATCATAAGTATATATATATGTAATGTATATAAACACACATATATAACAAATGTTACATTTATCTTACACACATATACATATACATAACACACATATATGATGACAGGTGGAGGGAGAAGTCACCTGAAGCATACTGGCTTACTAACATATATTTAAGGATATATATTATGTTATATACTATATATATATATATGTGCCATATATATATATATATACAGTATATATATGTGGTATATGTATATACACACACACAAATATCTATATACTTAAATATAGGTTGGATTTGCTTTGTTACTAACCGCCATGCTTCAGTTGCTTCCATCCCTTTCATCCCCTTGTCCTTCTGGTGAGTTCTTCCTAGAACCTCCATTTTGAGAAAGGGCCCAAACCAGCTATCCTTCATTCTCCAGACTTCACCACTATGCCCTCTCACGAGTACCACTCCCTTGACCTTTTCAACTCTCTTTTTATATGTTGTCTTCATCTATTAGAATATAAATTTTTTGAGGCCAGGAACTATCCTTTTTGCTGGTATGTGTATCCCCAAAGCTTAGCACAATAGTGCTTGTTGACTTGACTTTTATCTGATTAGGACAGGAACCCTTTATATTTGAATTCAATTTCCACGATGTTTGTGTTGCTTTTGTAGCAAGCCTGTGTTGTCTTCCCACAATTTAAAAAAGGGAGTAGAGGAAACGTTTCTCTTTGAAGTCTTGTCTCACCCAACTGCAGAAGGCTTTTGTGTTATCTTCAGTACTGTAAAAAAAAATCTATGATTTCCTCTGTCTGTGTACTTCCTCCATTGTTGCAGATTGCATCCCCTTCACACTTTAGTAAACAGTTTCATATGTTGTGGCTAAAATGAAAATGATTTTGTAGACAACATTTGTAGCCAGTGAGCCCTCACTTCAGGTGCTTCACATGACAGACATGGAGTCTATCACTGGACCCATACTTTCCAGTTGGTAGAGTCTACCAGAATTTTTATTCCATTGGCATGGCATTTGAGTGTTAAAGGTTGCCTCTGCAGCATAATAAGATACAGAGTGGAGTTTTATGTTCCTCATTGGGCTTGCAGGATTTCACAGGATTTCAGCTCTAGTTGGTACGTTTTAGGGAATAAAACAAACTGATACTTTGTATTTTGGTGGATATAGGGATGAAGTAATGGGAAATGTTCCTTGATCAAAAGAGGATCTAGTGTCGTTTCTTTTTCCCCAACAAAACTCTTTACTGGACTAGCTTGTGATAAAAGAATCATTGCTTAGTTGGTGAAACAGAAGATAAGACATTCTCCAGCACTAAGCATAATACCTGGCACATAATAGGTGTTTCATAGATGCTAGTTGATTGAATGACAGACATTCTAATAATACCAAGTGTACACACACACACACACACAAAACCCCCTTACATTTAATAAGTTGGCTAGATGATGTATCCAGAATTTTTCATCTAATTCAAAAATAACAGAATTTTTCTAATCATTTGGGTTTATTCTGCCCGTGTACCCACCACAATGAAACTAACCCCAACAAGCTTTTAGCAAGTACAACAGATGATTCCAAATCTGCAACTGTTCAAAACCTAATTTATCTCATGAAGATGCTTGAACAAATTTTGTTTCTTTAGAATTTTAGCTATTCTTATGTCAGTCTTGTTTACAATGCTTTAGATCCCTTATATAATATCATTTAAAGGGGAGATATCAACTGTATTAAATTAAAGTAATTGGTAACAAGAATTTAAATGATGCTTGTGATCCTTTTACCTGATTTTTAAAGTGAAGCTTCTGTGTCTTCTAACTCATTAATAAGAGGGAAAAATAAGAAACACAGGTATGCTTTTTATCATTCAAAAGGATTTTTTTTTTCACAATGAATGCTTGGGGGTTAATTGGCAGATTTTTGGAGAAAACTAATTTTAAGAGTCTCAACCAGTTCTATAAAAGCAGAAACTTAATGTATTAATTTGTGTGAAGGAGAAAGGATTCGCTTAAGTAAAGGCACATTCCATCCTAACTCCTGTCCAAACTATCATGAATTAGTGTGGCTTAAATTAATGAGATTCAGAAGAACATTCAGCGCTGTCCAGGCGCTGTCTGATTTTGGACGTATAGCTTTCTTTAGAGACAGAAAGCTTTAAAAAGGATTCAAAGGAAGCCAGTGATCAGGGATTGATGTTTAAGTGGCTGAAGAATTACGATGATGAATAAAAGCTTAAGAAACTCAGATTCTTTTGCTGAAAAAAAAGCATAGGGAAGGGAGGGGAATAAATATATAGCACCTACTATGTGTCAGGTACTATGTGAAGCACTTTTTACAAGTGTGATACCGTTTGATCCTCATGACAACCCTGGGAAGCAGGTTGTATTATTATCCCATTTTGAAGTAAAGCAAACAGCATTTGTGACTTGCCCAGGGTCATAAAGCTAGTAAGTATCTGAAGTCAGACTTAAGCTCTCGTCTTCTTGACTTTAGGGCCAGTGCTATATCCATTGTGCTGTGAGCTGCCATCTTAAATCATCCATGTGGTAGATGATGTAATATCAGTGGTCAATAAGCATTAATTAAGCTCCTGCTGTTGGCCAGGCACTGTGCTAAGCGCTGGGGATACAAAGAAAGGCAAAAGAGTGGAGTAAAATCCCCACTCTTAAGGAGCTCACAGTCTAATGGAGAGACAACATGCAACAGAAAGAATTAAGAGGCCTTGGGAAATCTCCCTGTAAAAGGCGGAAATTTATCTGAGATTTAAAGGAAGCCAGGAAGCAGAGATGAAGAGAGAGAGCATTCAAAGCATGGGGGACCACCAGGGGAAATGCCCAGAGTTGAGAGATGGAGTATCTTGTTCTAGGAACACGGAGGAGGCCTGTGTCTGTGGATCAAAGAGTACGTGGAAGTAAGTAAAATGACAGAAGACTGGAAAGATTGAGATAAGAAGGACTTTGAATACCAAATAGAGGATTTTATATTTGATCCTAGAGGTGATGGGGAGAAGAGAAAATGGGGAAGGGCAAATGACATGGTTGGACCTGTACTTTAGGAAGGTTACTTTAATTGTTAAATGGAGGATGGACTGGAGTGGGGAGAGACTTATGGTAGAGAGTCCAACTACCAGCAGTCTACTGCAGTGGTCCATTCATGGGGGGATGAGGAATTGTACTAGGTTGGTGTCAGGGTCAGAGAAGGGGAGGGAGTACAGGAGAGATGTCATAAAGGTACAATCAACAGGTCTTCTCAACAGATTAGACATTGAGGAGTTGAGGTTTCAAGCCTGGGTGAGTGGGAGGATGGTGGTACCTACAAGAGTAATGGGGAAGTTAGGAAGATGGGAGGACTAGTGAGGAAAGATATAGACATGTTGAGTTTAAGATGGTTATGGGATGGGACATCCAGTTTGAGATATCCAGTAGGCAGCTGGAGAGGCATATGCTTTATTGAAGATGCATATGTCATCCAAGCATACAAAGAAAATGATTGCAGTAGGAAATAACAAATTATCCTCCTTCACTGAGAACTTGTATATGTATACATATGTGTATATGTATATATACATATGTGAGTATACCTGTGTGGGTGGACATATGGGTGTGAGTGTGGGTATAGGGAATAGGCTTAAGCTTCAGCAAACAAGAGGGAGATAAAGAACATCTCAGTGGTTTGTTATATCCTGGAGGTTATAAAGAGTGCACATCTTTTATGGGGTAGTTTCAAGAACAGCACACACTCCAGTATTAACTTAGGAGAGAGATAGTTCTAACCCAAAGCAGAGGGTTGAACAAGGTTGCTTTTCAAGATCATTTCCATCAAAATGATTCTAGACTTGTATTTATATGATGAATTGCATAGAGTGCTAGACTTGAGTCAAGAAGAGCTGGATTCAAATCCTGCCTCAAACACTTCCTAGCTTTGTGACAAGTCATTTAACCTTGCTACTCCTCAGTTTTCTCATTTGCAAAATGAGGGTAATGATACCTATGATAGTTATCTTATAGGGTTGTTGTGAGGACCAAATGTGACCATGTATTTAAAGTGCTTTTCAAACCTCTAGGTGTTACATAAATTTCAATATTATAGTGTTATTTTAGTTATTAGTATTATAAAGAAATTCCTATGAAGGCACTTCCCTTTCTCCTTGACCCAAGAAGTCTATATTGTATGGGTTTGGGGAGACCTTACTTTCTTGCTACTTGGTTGTATTACTGAACCTTGAAGCCTGACACATCTAGATCAAGAAGGGAGAGACAGGGAAGATCCCACTGGAATGGGAGGGAAGGGAGGAAAGAAAGGAATAAGCATTCTTGTAACACCTGCTAAGTGCCAGGCATTATGCTGTGTAAGCACTTTACAAATATTGTGTCATCTGATCTTCACAACTGTATGAGGTAGATGATATTATCCCCATTTTATAATTGAGGAAATTGAGGCAAAGATAAGTTAAGTGACTTGCCCAGGGTTGCATAACTAGTAGGTGTCTAAGGCCAGATCTGAACTCAGATCTTCCTAATTCCAGGCCCAGCATTCTATTCACTGTGTCACCTAGCTGTCTGAAATCTTGATTCCATTTCCAAAAAAATGCCGGAATGCTGGCTCTGTACCACTTACTGGTATCTTGGGGGCACTGGGGAAGAATAGTCTCTTTGTGCATGTCTTTCTTGTTGGCCGAGAGGACTGGGGTAATTCAGGATGACTTTTTGAACAGGCGGATGGAGGTCTCTTCCACAGGATCCGGGAAGGCCTGGCAGCAGCTGAGCTGGCTGTACCAATTGCTGGTAGGCTGCCCTAGGGTACTCTTGGCCATCTGAGAAGTTAAGACAAAACAAAGAAAGACTGAAAAACCTTCTCTCTTGCCTATGAAAGAGAAAATAAGCATAGCACAAACGGCTGCCCTCGGATCATAGAATCATAAATTTAACCCTGAAAGGGGTATCAGAGGTCATAGAGTCCAACCCTCTCGTTTTACAGATGGGGCCCAGAGGTCATGTGACTTGGCCAAGGCCACACAGGTAGTAAGGAGCAGAGTAGGAATTGGAACCCAGATCCTAGAAACCCCCAAACTAGCACTCTTAGCTATTATACCACATATCAGCCCAGAGAAATTAACCCTCTCATTTCCTAAGGAATTTATTTCATTTCTTACCAGCTGTGCTCAGACGTTTACAAAATATGTAATTTAAACAAAGAATGATTAAACTTTGAGGCTCTTTGACAGCCTAAAATCTCTTGCTTCTGCCATAAACTGTAAAGAATAACACAGCTCCCCTTTCCTCCTAGGTAGAGTTTGGAAAAAGAGAGACTAATGCACTTATCAACCTGGCACAGAAGGGCCACTTTGAATACTTCAGGCATAATCTCTGCCCTCAAGCAGTTTAGAATCTCAAGGAGAAAACAGACAGGTATGCATTTCAACTCACATCAGTTCCACAAGCATTTAAATGTCTCCTATGTTCCATGCATTTGGCTATGCCTTGGGGATAAAAAAAATCCAACCAGTCACCTCCAAAAACAAACAAACGAAAAATCAAACCCAGTTCCTGCCCTCAAGGTGCTTACATTCTTCTGGCATATACTCAACTACAATATGAGATAGTACCAGCTGAATGCCACAACAGGAACCCAAAGAAGGACTAATGGGAATTCAGAAGCAGGACAGATTACTTCTGTCTAGGAAAGTGACATATAAACTAAGCTTTGAAGTTTGGGAGGAATTTCATCAGGCAGAGGGGGCAGGGACACAGGAACAGTTAAGTATCAGTTGCATATGGGAAAAGCAAGCAGGTTGGAGGGAGAGAGAAGGCAGCCATTCCTGTCCTGTGGACCCCAGAATCCTGGGAGCCGCATCCTTATTGGGAGCTCCCAAGACACATGCACACCAAGCAGTATCACTTTGATTTTGGTGCTTAAGCAGCAAGAAAGTTATGTGGCATGAACCATGTTTTTGGTTTTTGGTTTGGTTTTTTTTTTTTTCGTATTATCAACACTTCATTCCTACCTGGTAGGAAACGAGAACCTAGGTGACTTCTGGCTACTTGTTTGTTCTGAGGATCCAGTTCTGTCGCCTAAAGCTGTGGAATATCTAATGCCTTCTACCGCAGAATATGTTTAGGAAAGTGGAATTTCTGAACTTGCTGCACCAAAATCTAAATATGGAAACAAGCTAACAGTGGAACAAGATCTAAAGTTGAAACTTTCATCACTTCACCCAGATTTCCAGGCTCTGAAAGCTTTAAAAACAGTGCCAGCTATCCCATTAAATAACTCAGTGTAATGAAACAAGCAAACACACCTTCTGCAGACTGAATACTGTCTCAGACACGTGTGTGTTACCAGTTTTCAAATATATATGATTAATATAATAGAAATTCATTTAAATGAATCGATGCATTCACTGTGGATTTTATCACTATGCATTTTTTCTCAACCAAAAAATACTAATGGTTCAACTGCAATCACATAGAATTTTTTAAAAAAATATTTTTGCCCCAATTACATGTGAAAACATTTTTTTTAACATTGGTTGTTAAGTTTTGAGTTCCAAATTCTATCCCTCCCTCCTCCTTGAGACAGTAAGCAAGATGATATTGGTTATACATGTATAATCATATAAAACATTTCCAAATCAGTCATTTTGAATCACATAGAATTTTGACAATTTTTTTAGGTTAAAAAAAAAAGTACCCTGTGATTATCAATCTAGACTTTGAAAGAAACCTAGAGACCATCTAATCCAGTCCTCTCATTTTATAGATGAGTAAAGTAGAGCCCAAGGAAATTAAGTGACTTCCCCTGGGTCACACAGTAGTAAGCATCAGAGACAGGATGTGAATCCAGAGCCATTATGATCTCAGCTATGATATACAGCAAAGGGAAATGAATAAGGGATAGCTAAAGTAGCTGTAGCTATGTTGTATACTATGATTTTACTTCAAATAAAGTTATAGTACTTAAATATTTTAAGGTTTACAAAAACTTTCATCAAAAGAATCCTGGGGCATTTGTTGTTGTTCAGTTGTTTCAGTCACCCTGTTTGGGGTTTTGTTGGCAAAGATACTAGAGTGATTTGCCCTTTCCTTCCCTGGCCCATTTTTCAGATAAGTAAACCAAAGCAAACAGGGTTAAGTGAATAGTCCAGGGTCACACAGCTAGTAAGTGTCTGAGGCCAGATTTTAACTCAAGAAGCTGAGTCTTTCCAACTCCAGGCCTGGCACTCTATCTATCCACTGCTTCACCAAGTTGCCTGGGACACAGTGTGGGAGTTATTGATCCCTTTTGTAGAGATGAGGAAAACGAGGCTCAGAGAGGTTGAGTTGTTCAGGGTCACAGAGCTAGAAGGTGTCAGAGCTGGGATTCAGTACCAGGTCTTCTGACACCAAGTCCAGCACTCTTCCTTATCCCAGATTGCCTTTGCACATCTGAGTGTCCTGCAGAATTTAACCATTTTAGTGCTGTTTTTTGTATGAGTGGAAGCATTGATAAAAGTCAGTTTTCACCACTTGAATTAGGGAGCAGAACTTGTTATTTTCCTTCTTTGTGAAACAGAAACCTAGACTCTATAATGTTGAATGTCTGCTATAATAACAACTAGACACACTATGCAAATTAGATTAACAATAATAACTGACATTTCTGTAGTCTTATAATGTTTACGAAGGGCTTTTATTTCATCTGATTCTCACAGCAACCTCTTGTGATGTAAGCTCTACAGTTATTATCCCATCTTACAGATGAGGAAACTGGGATATAGAGGAGCTAAATGATTTGGCCAGGGTCACATAGCTAGTAGGGGACTGAAGTGGGATTTGAACCCTGCTTTCTCTGACCCGAGGGCAGCTAAATGGCACAGTGGATAGAGTGCCGGGCCTACAGTCAAGAAGACTCATCTTCCTGAGTTCAAATCTGGCCTCAGACATTTACCAGCTGGGAAACCCTGGGCAAGTCACTTAATCCTATTTGCCTTGGTTTTCTCATCTATAAAAATGAGCTGGAGAAGGAAATGGCAAATCACTCTAGTATCTTTGCCAAGAAAACCCTACACGGGGTCATGGGGAGTCAGAAATGACCGAAAATGACTGAACAACAACATTCTCTGACCCTAGGCCCAGCACTCTATGCCCTATATTATATTGCATCTCAATTACATTTTAAAGTCTCCACAGAAACAGTAATGATTGAATTTTATGAACTAATGAACATGAATAGACAATGAAGGAAAAACATTAGCCCTTGCCCCCTTTTCTTGAGACTGAGGAAATGCTGTTGTGGTTAAAGACAGCTTAGTTTTCATCTTTCCACATGCTTCAATGCTCCCCAAAAGAAGTCTGTAGCATTGGCTGCTCCATTTCCCCTCTTCTCTGTCTTTCCTAGACTTAGCCTTGGAGTGTGTCATTGAAAGAAAATGTGTTTGAATCCTTGCTCTGCTCCTCACTACCTGAGTAATCTTAGACAAGTTACTTCCCCTACTTTTGGGCCTTACTTTTCCTTATCTCAAAAATGAAGTAAATAATCTCTAAGTTCTCTTGCAGGTTTGAATCCTATGATTTATATATGATTTTATATACATCCTAAAGAATTTGAAGGCTGTTTTCTTGTCTGAAGGCATGTCCCAGTGTTTCATGATCCTCACTTTTGATAGTCAGGGATACTAATCCGACTATAGTAAGGATATTCAGACCTCCAACCCAAAGATATTGTTTTAGTTGTGTCTGACTCTTCATGATCCTATTTTGGGGTTTTCTTGGCAAAGATACTGGAGTGGTTTGCCATTTGCTTCTCCAGCTCATTTTTAAAGATGAAGGAACTGGGGGAAATAGGGTTAAGTGACTTGCCCAGGAACGCACAGCTAGTGTCTGAGGCCAGATTTGAACTCATGAAGGTGAATCTCCCTGATTCCAAGCCCAGTGTTCTATCTACTGCCCTCACCCAAAGACTGATGCCTAGAGCTCTGCTTTAGCTTCCTAGTGACTCTTAATATTCTATCACATACCAAAGACATAAACGTAAAAGTGTGTGCACACGCACAAGAGGGTATATTGCATTTATTGAGGACATAGCATGTTATTGTCAATTGAAGTCCCAGCCTGACCACTTCCTAGTTATATATGATCTTGGCAATCTGTTTCTCTTAGGCTCAGTTTCTTTATTTGTAAAATGAGGAAGTTGGATTAGATATTCTTTATGATCCCTTTCAGCTATATGGAACAATTCTATATGTTTGAGATTTTATTTAGTTTCTAAATGGGTTGGACTAGATGGAGATGGCTACTCAGGGAGGCTCTTTGCAATTTAATTATCACTTAAATTGATTGAGTAAGAATGCTTAATTCCGTGACTCGCCAAATGTTGGAATTGTTAGGGTCCTTCACTCCCATCTCCTATGAATGAATTATTATGCAAAAAGAAAGGCTAGGAACCAGGGAGAACACCAGTCAAAATGAAAGGTTTAACCTTCAGCTTTGGTGCTTCAGATTACCGTCATTCATGTCATTGCTACAACATTGGCAAATTCAGGAGTGACCTAACCAATAAACAATTGCTTCCCTGACCTGGGAGTTAGGAAACCTGGGTTCTATTTCTGACTCTGCTAATAACTAGCAATTAACCTCTCTGGGCCTCAGTTTCCTCATCTTTCAGATGAGGAGATTTGGACTAGATGACTGCTAAGGTCCCATATGGGGCAGCTAGGTGGTGCAGTGGATAGAGTGCTGGGCCTGGAATCAAGAAGACTGGTCTTCAGAGTTCAAATCTGGCTTTAGCCACTTCTTGGCTGTGTGACCCTGGGCAAGTCACTTCTTAACCCTGTTT